ACAGTAAATATATCCATTCCAGACCCCCAAAATTGGAGCGAGGACTGATGATATGTCCGCGTTTGGCTGGGTGGATTTGTCTGACTGGTGAGTTTCGTAGGCGATGTACCCGAAGTCTTGTTGATCCAGTGGGTAATTACAGACACCATCTGCTTTGACATTTGGCATTTCCAAGGCTTCGTTATAAGGGAATTCCTCTGGGTCACTTTGTCGAACAATGGCTGGAGCCCATAGGCCGGATGGCTCATGCCAGTACTCGAACTAGCATGTAGGTCAGGTAAATGTGCGCATAACTAAACCATTAGCAAGGACTTACGATACCGTGGGCAAAGACCCTAAATTGATGTTTTTCATCAAGTTTTTGCTGTTTGAATATGGCTGTCATATTTTTTCATCAATTAGTCCGAATAAAACTCTTTAAGATAGGTATGTATAATCTCACACTGCAAAACATTGCAACGTCCTACCACAGAATCAAACACCCACTGGATAGTGTCAGCCGCATCCTACTAGTTGTTAGTTATAAAGAGGAATGCATTGTCGAGAAACTCACTTCTAATTCATTACAGTGAATCATTCTTTTTTGGCACACTCGGAAGATCTCAAAATGTTGCTTCAAGAGTAAGTAAAGGATCGGAAAAACGTACTACACGTTTCCTAGAACATCAGTCATACCCGAACACATGAGTCGATGTACGTACTTTCTCAATTCGACCAGGTCCTGTGACCAAAACTAAAGTGTTCATCGCGTCAATATCGTAGGCCACTTCCTGCAAGTTTTTCCTGAGCCTCTCTTCCTCTGCATCCACATAACTCTGAAAACGAGCTTGGAGCACTTCATTGCGGTACGAGAGGTTAACCGAAGCTCGTAGGGTCGTCACACGCCGACAAACCGTCGCCAGGTAGTCATTCACGAAATTTAGATTTTCGGATTTGATGTTGGGGAGGATGGCGAACATTTTGCCAATTAGTCCCCGGATTTTGCTGGAGTAGTCTGTTAGCGTCATATGCCACCCTGTACAGAATGCTTTAGACAGGCGCATCGGTCGAACGACCACCTCTTGGTCTCGTACCTACAGCCCAGTATGCTATCCAATGAGGCAGACTGAGATCCAGCAACATCATTATTGTGTCAATTAGTAGAAGACCATGACAATAAGTACCTCCATCCTAAGGGTCGCGAAGTAGTAAATGTATTGACTTCGGCAAGCGTTATAAAACCTGAAGCATCATCGTCGAAGGCTTCGCTGATCGGCTGCAGCCGAACTGTATTGATATAAGGCAACGCCCACTCATCGTCTGAATGTTTCTCGTGCGCGACGACAGCTCCGGGGGTTGTGCCGTCAGGAGAGTCAACGTTCCATTTTTCATGGAAATAATCGCGAAGAGCCATCACGAAATGCCGAGCCTTCACGCTGCCTCTCCAATTCTGTATTTGGTGTTGTCGCTAATGTTGCATAACAATTAGGGGGAAACGAGAGAGACTCACCATTTCTTTCCATATTTTGTAGACATCCTGCAAGCCAGACCATGGTCAGTCGGAAAGGTTGAAGGCATGTATTTATGCTTACAGGATCAAGAAGTCGATCATGAGGTCCCGAAGCAATCGCACTAATGATACGATCACCTTCCCTCCTTACCGTGCGAGTGAGCTGTTCTGTGATCTGGCGTTGCTGAATTTCAAATTTGCGCTCAAACACCTTCTCATTCTTCTCCATCGCCTCATCCGGGTTGGTACGAAGGTCTTCGAGAAGTTCTTCCATATCATTTTCATTTGATGTCTTTTGTGGTCCAGTGGAGATGAGATCGAGGCTAGCGGTGTTCTTTTGGGCTAACTTGTTCAGCTCCTCTAGGGCCTTTTTGTTATTCTGAACGGCTTCTACACCTCCTCTTTTCTCTACAAGCCGTGCCATTTCTTCTTCCTCGGGAGATACCAATTGCTTCAACATTTGCATCATCAAGTCCAATCTAGCGTTCACATCACTAAGGGTTTCATTTGCCGCATCGACACCACGGGCAGTATGAATTGTGAGAGCGAACTCGAATTCCTGGCGTCGCCTGACGAATAGGCTCAAATACTCTAGAAATCGGTTTTCCCAGACTGAGCCGACAAGTACTTTGACTGGATAAAGAAGAAGTGGCGTAAGTAATATGGGGCAAAACAAACAGGTCTCAGAAAACACATACCAAGAAGTTTTTTCTTTGAATATGTGTCGCAAGCGTTTGCACATTGTTTGATGTCCTTCTCGGTGTCTTCAGAAAGCTTCTGTATGCGTCCCGCTATGGTCGTACCGTCTGGGGCTATCTCGGTCACATCTTTTACATTTTTTAGTCTATAAGTTGGTCAGAACCACAATATTACAGCACGTTGCGAGTACTTACTGTACGAGAACAACCATCATATGCTTCATCTCGGTGTACACGGCCCTTATTTTGTTGTCATTCTCCCGCCGTTTCATCTCAAGTGTCCAAACGGTCTATAGAGTATAAATGAGATGATCATGGATAGGGATATTCTCTATCAAACCTTGAAAATCAAGACAGCGGCTGTTGTAAAGCAATAAATGACCATTGCGGGTTCTTTTCAATGAGCCTCACCTGTTATGAAAGGATGTAGTTGCGCTACTTCGTCCAAGGCACTTAGAAACACTGTACCGACTTCCGAAAATTTAATAATTCCGTTTTTAACAGCATCCAATTCGTCAGCATTCAAAGCGGAGACGGTAGCTATTACGACTGCTGCGCAATTTTCGACATTGATGACAGCCTCTTCGCTCGTGCTGTTGTTTCCTAAAATTCACTATGATTAGATGACAAACAAACAAACAAATAACAAAGAATTATTCTGACCTAGTCTTTCAGGACCAGCTTCCGAAGGCGGCCGGGGGGGTCCATATGCCGCAGTCCATGCTGAAGCGAGACCATCCTTTTTGGTGACAACTTGTTGGCTAGGTGCGTCAAGCGACGGAGAGTTGAAGACCACCAAACTCGTCTCGTGGGTGACAATATTATCCTTGGAGTTATCTGCCTCCGAGCTATCCTTCTCTTTGTCTACCCCATGGTTGTATGGCAAAGGAGGGACAGGTTCGGATTCAGAGCTGTTTTCATTCTTTTTTGAAAGTTTTCGGAGGTTTCCAAGGATCGTATTAGGCATAGTTGTTCTGACACCTCTAGGCCTAGGAAGCGTGCGTGCGCACACAAAGATTTACAGTACTAGGTTAATAAGGCATTCTCTAGTGACGCCCACGGAGCAGGGATGTCTGGACATAGTTCCAGAGTATCACTTCCGGAGTACGCCGAACCTAATACGCCCACTTCTGTTTGAGTCTGTGACTCTGATGGAACAAGATGCAAACCCCTAACTGAAAAAATGAATTAAGCGTCAATTTCATATATTTTGGCTACTCACCGAAATATCTACACTGTTGTGTAACCGCAAGTGCATCACATAATGTCAAGGAAACAGAGTTGATAGAATTGAATAGGAACTCGTTTAATATCCTCATGAACCAGTGGAATCCTATAATATCAGATAATATCGGATCAGAAGCACGGCACATACTTACTTAGGCGCCTCAGGAAGTACGGTAAACATAAGGTAAAAGAAACGGACATTAAGAGATGGTATATCCAGGTTATTCCTATTAGCATGGATAGCAAGAGCCTTCAAGATGCCCGATCCGATATTCTTTACTGATACTTTAACTAGGTACAAAAATTCAACCTGAAGCCTAGGCACGTCCTGTTAGCAATTTTAGAGATTGATGAGAGGACATATTGTGTTAAAATCGGTCTCGAAGACTCACAAGAGAACTCAGGTCTTTAACTAGAGACTGAATTAATCTGTTTTAATTCGAGAGCGGTTGATGATAGATTGTTCTCGCTTTGTCGCAAATAGGCTTCTTTAGGAGTATGGGAAGCCCTCAGGTGGGATGTTGTAAAAAGTACCATGAAATCATGCTTCCGCCATATCGAGGTCATTAATCAGGAAAGTGAGAATATCAGTAAGTATGCTGTCTATATTGTCTAGAGCCATCTAGGAGAGCTAGCTAGCTCGGCTAGACACGGCTAGACACACTACTTTCGCGAGATCCTTATTTACTAGTCGGTATAAAAGCTTACTATGGATATAGGGAGTCTAGGGAGGCTAGGGACTCTACAAAATGGGTGTAGACATTCCCAAATCCCTGATGTTAAAACTCAACTGGTACCACAGGCCTCTTCAGCATGATTTGCAAAATGTTTGAGAGAATACAGTGAGATTCACTGTGATTCCCAATTAATCGGTACAATTTAATATACTTTGCAAATATTTGAGAGGGCACAATGCAATTCACTACAAGTTACAATTATTCAGGATGATTCAATATGATTCACAAATGTTTGAGAGGTGTTAGGAACCTCATTCTTGGGCCCCAACAACATGTTCTCACTCTGGCATCTCTATCAACCAAATAATAATAAAAGTGAAGTAAAAGTCAGTTAGCAGCCACAGTTCAAAGTGCATGCAACCCACCACTCATACCACTTCCCGAGTGGGTATCAATCTCAATATTGAACTTGATTCTAATAGAGGCAATTGCATGTGATTGTAGGATTTAGAATTAAATGAACTTTAGGATCCTCAAAAGATCCTTAACTAATTTTCATAAGGATTTAATGGATGATTTGGAGTTTGTATAAAATAAGGCTCAACTAGGGATCCTGGGTTTTTTTTTTGGGGGGTTATCCTGGTGAAAGCTGATTAAGTTAACCATGCATGGTTTGTTTTGGTGGTGGACCTCCAAGTTCCCATCACAGTTTGCATTATATGTAGGTATGCCAGGTTCATCTTCAACATGGCATTCACCTTGGACAGGCCCTTCTCAAAATTTGTCTCCATAGTGGTCAACCATTCATCAATAATCTTTTCATGGTTGCTAAGTCTCTTCTCAAGGCCTGTCAGTCCTCCTTCTATAGAGGAATATTTTGTAAGAATTACATAATAGGGTGAAAAGTATTGACCTGAGCTGGATTTGACCAGCAACCACTATATCTGGATTACATGTCTAGTGCTCTTAACCCCTGAGCTATCAGGCCATTAAGAGTAGTTTTGTTAGGAACCAGTCACTGAGATGGTTAGTCATCAGTAAGATATTATTTTATCCAAGTCATGTAAGAAACACGCTCAGTCGACACAGATAGTGATTCGACTGAGGTATGGGTATCAAAACGTTCGAGGCTAAATAGTAAAATATCTAAATTATGTAGTTGATGGTAGTGAGTCGTGGTATATTAGGCAGGGGATAATGCGGCTTGGTATAACCGTATACGGGGTGGTGTATCCGTATACAGTGTTGGGTAGCCATTGGTCCGACTGCAAGAGCCTAAAATTCAACACTCCCCCTGGCTCGATGCACTCTCGCAGAGTCGCAGCGTAATACATTGCTGAATGAGCGTTGATTTGGGCAACGGTTTCGTGAACATATCCGCGAGGTTATCAGATGATGCGACGTGACGGACTTCGATGTCCCCCTCCTCGACCCGTTCCCGTATGTAGTGATACCGTATATCAATATGCTTAACATGTGCGTTGTGTTTCGTATTCTTGGTTAAGAGAACTGCGCCTGAATTATCATTGTAAAGAATTGCTGGCTTCGGCTGTGGAAAACCGACTTCATCCATTGCGGCATACATCCACAATATCTGCTTCGTGGCTTGGGTGAGTGCCATATATTCTGACTCTGTTGTTGATAGAGCAACTGTCGGCTGATATTTTGATCCCCAAGCAGTAGGTCCCCCTGCCTGAATAAAAACATGTCCAGAACAGGATCGGCGTGTGTCAGTGTCCCCTGCGAAATCAGCGTCGACATACCCGACTGGCCTGACATCCTGGAGTGAACCCCCATATGTAATCCCATAATCGAGTGACCCTTTGATATATCGTAAGACGTGGGTCAATGCGTTCCAGTGAGCCTTCCCGGGGTTTGAGGCAAACTTGCTCAATGTGGAGACCGCGTACGAGAGGTCTGGACGTGTTGCAATTTGTGCATACATAATCGATCCCAGTAACTCTCGATATGGCTTATCAGCCATGAAGACGCGGTCTTCAGTCGTCTGGGGCCCCTGCTCCCTGTTCAGCGTAATGCCTGGGGGTAGTGGTGTGCCGCGAGGGTTTGACTCTGTCATTCCGAAACGCTCAAGAATTCGTTCGAGGTATGCGCATTGTGATAGCTTTATTGTGCCACGTTTCCTGTCACGGTCGATTCGGATTCCCAGGATTAAATTCGCATCCCCCATGTCCTTGGTCTCGTACTTCCAGCCTAATTCTTCCTTGGCTCTATGTGCCTCTTCTTCGGATGAGGAGATTCCAGTCGTGTCGTCAGTGTATGTGGATGTTATTGTGGTGCTGCCATTTCCATGGCGGGAGCACACTGATGGGTCGGCTTTTGACCGGTAATATCCCAACTCACCCATTTCTCTATCCAAAGTTCCCCACCAGTTATTGGCACCATCCATGGTGCCATATAAAGTCCTTTCCAGTCTCCCGACCTTCCCTGCCTCCTTCGCGCCTTCAGGAAGTTCGATGTATGTAACAGCTTGTGGAACTGAATTGAGGTATGCCGCGACGTAGTCAATCTGCCATGACTCCATGTTTTTGGCAGCTGCGATGGCCAAATTCATTCGCAGTGACTCATACCGAACGACAGAGGCGTATGTTTCGAAAAAATCGACACCGGGTATTTGGGTAAAACCTTTAGCAACGAGCCTTGCCTTGCGGGCAATAAGTTCACCGTTACTGTTGTATTTGTGTGCAAAGGTCCAACGCATTTGTACCAGTCTAGCATTAGCAGGACAGTCCATAACTGTCCACACCCCGTGTTTTCTCATGACGTCTAACTCTTTGTTGATAGGGCCGGCCCATATGTCAGGACGCATCATCGCCTCGCTGTATGTTTTGGGAAGCCACATGTTTGTTGGGTCTGGAACTGTCATGGCATCAGTATGGAATGCACTATGTACTCTGTCATCAGCCCACGCTTCCCCTGCCAACTGGGCTTGCTGTATGTTCATCTCTGAGGTGAGAGATTCCTTAAGTGCCTGTGTTGGAACAGATACGTGTGTGGAACGATGTGGTGCAGATTCCACGCTGGTAGACTCAGTGACGGTTGGGATTGAGATATTGGTTGGGGTAATTGCGGAAGTGTGGTCTTGTACTGGTGCCAAACCGCTCCTCAGTTCGTCTGTGTTCTCGTTAACCGGTGTGGGGGTGAGTGTAACGTGGTCGAAATTCTGTATTTCCTCATCGCCCGATATCTCCATCAGTGTCTTGCAACTGCGACCCTCCTCGAAGATGACATCACGCGAGCGAAAAATACGACGCGTCTCTGGGTCGTAAATTCTATAAGCGTCACGTCCGAAATATCCAATATGCACCCCTTTTATGGACCGTGGATCCAGTTTACTAAGCCCTTCTCCTGTTTCGACGGGGATTTTAGCATAAGCTACACAACCGAGGGGACGCAGGTGAGAAATATCAGGTTTCTTCCCATGCCACAACTCAAAAGGAGTCGAGTTGGGGTTTCTGGTAGTAGGGATAAAATCCATCACGTATACTATCGCTGTTGCGATTTCGCACCACAGCGCAGAAGGTAACTTATTCTCATACAGGCAAACGCGCACTCGCTCGATGATGGTGCGATGACATCGCTCAACAATGCCGTTGGACGAAGATGAGTACGCAGTGGTGGTTTCGTGTATAATCCCTTGTTCGTTGAGGTAAGTGGTCCACAATGAATTGAAGAATTCGGTGCCTTCGTCGGTACGTATCCTGCGCACCTTCATCCCTGTCTGACGTTCAGTGAGCACTGTATATTGCTTCAATGCAGCTAAGGTTCCTTTTGCTTCTTTACTGGACAAGAAGAAAACTTCCGGGTGACCACTGTACCTGTCGACACACGGCATCATGTAACTTCTCCTGCCGATGGACTGGACTCGGGACGGTCCCCACAAGTCAACATAGGTCCGTTCCCCGATTGCTGTTTCACGCTCATCATTGATGTAGAATGGGCAGCGTGTATGCTTCCCCATTATACATCTCTCACATGTCCCTGGTTGGGGGGTCATGGTGGTTACCTGCATGCCACAAACGACGTTGTGATTGGCCATTTGTTGTACAGTATCGTACCGAACGTGACCAAGGCATCGATGCCAGGTATCTATATCGGTTGGTCAGTTGTGGGATTTGGCAGCAAAATCATGTGCAGTCATCTTGACTACGGCCGCTGGGTGTATTGCCATCTCCGGTGATAATTGCATGCTATCTGGGAGGGGGCCAGCTGGGGGAAAGATGTCGATCTTGTACATTGTTCCTTCTCCCCTCCCATACATAAATGGACTACCATCTGGGTTGATAAAGGTAACGCCGCCGCCCCCAAAAATTGCATAACATCCACTGTTGTCAAGTTTCCCGATGGACACGAGGTTGTGGGATAAGGTCAGGCAATGAAGTGCGTCCTGAAATATGAGATTGATAACGCGTCCATCGTATATGCAACGCTTGCTAACTGTCCCCTTTCCGCAGATTGAAAAAGTGCTACCATTGTTAGCCATAGTCCCATCCTTCCCATTATAATTCTTGTAAGTTTGAAAATCGTTTATATCAATAAAAAAATGATCACTCGCTGTGGAGTCAGCATAGGTGACAATAGTGCTGTTGGTGGATACCGTTGGATCTACCTGCGTCATAAGGGTGCAGAATTCTCCAGATCCAGGCGTGAAGGGAGTAGAGGGCACGACTGCCACGTTAGCCGTCGACACGTTAGCTGTTGATTTGGTAGGTACACCGTTGGATGGTTTTTGTTGCTGCGCGGCTTGACTTCCACCAGTACCGGTCCCCTTCTTTCTCCACCAATCAGGAAACTGACCTTCCATTCCCCCTCTGACTTTGAAACACTTCTCAATCGTGTGTCCTATGCGTTTACAGTTGGGGTTGGAGCAAACATCACTAGACCGATCAGATTTAGTAGTCGCGAGAGCTTGTGAAGTTTGGGGTGTGGGTTTCCTGTTTCGTGCGATTGTTTTGTCATATAAGGTGAGGTTTGATATTACTTCTTTGGAGGTCTTCAGTGAGAAAAGAGTTCCAATTACTAGATCCCACTCCTTAGGCATCGACGCAATCACAATTGTGCGGAAAGTAGAATCATCCATTTTTCCCCCTTGCACGTTGACCTTTGCCCATCCTTCGCGTAGTCGTGTGAAATGGGATATGATGTCCGCGCCGTCAATATGCTTGATTGTACGCAAATCGTTATCGGCATTAAGCAAACCTATATCGGAGGTTGCACTGTGTATCGCTTTCAGGGCTGACCAGGCCTCACTCGCAGTATCGGACGGTTGAATGCCGTTGCCGATAGGATTCTTGACGTTCAGATCAATCATTGCCTTTGCATATGCGTCGCGCTGTTCCCATTCCTCGGGTGAAGGATTGTGTGATCCCCAGTAAGTCATTGGTACAGGGGTAGTATTGGGGGCAAGTTGGGAAGGTTTCTTTATAGTTCCATCCATATACCCTCGGACGCCTCGTGCACCCACTGCAGACCAGATAGTGTCGTGCCATGCGAACCAATTGTGTCCATCGAGGCGATCCTCAGGTTGCAACATAAATAGTGCTGGTTGGTGTGACGCCATATTTGTTTTAGTCAGTTGGGTCGGGGTTCAGTTGGTCGAGGTCAAGTTTAGTTGGTCAGGGTCAGGTTCAGTTGGTCAATGTCGGGGTCAGTTTGTTTGGTCGGTCAATTTCGATGGTTAATTAACAGCTTTGGTCGGGGCCCATAACCTGTAAGAAACACGCTCAGTCGACACAGATAGTGATTCGACTAAGATTTACTACCTGTAAGAAACACGCTACAGTACATCAAGATAAGAATACGAAGACGAGAAATAGTTCGTAGTGACGTACCTCAGTCGACACAGATAGTGATTCGACTGAGGTATGGGTATCGAAACGTTCGAGGCTAAATAGTAAAATATCTAAATTACGTAGTTGATGGTAGTGAGTCGTGGTATATTAGGCAGGGGATAATGCGGCTTGGTATAAC